TCCTCCTCCTCCTCCTCCTCCTCCTGCCGGCCTGCTCGCCAGCTCTGCAATCCGCAGCTGCCCGGTACCTGCTTGCTGCTGAGCCAGGGACTGATATCGGCCTGATAGCGCCTTTAATGACAGTGAAAATACCAGAGTTTTCTTGTAGGCAGTGTGCTGTAAAAATCTGATTTAACTGTGCTCTTTGGGACCCAGGAGCTATGATGGTGTGTTCATGATGGGGAAAGGTCAAATGGGCCGCACATGATGATAAATTCATAGGGTGGGATTTTAACTGTGAGCATTACCTGTATGCAGATGAAGGTGTCAAGGTGAAGTACACCTTAGTAGTGCTGAGAATGTATTACTTAATTCATGGGGATAGGCAACTCCGTTAGCTATGTAACCTCTCTTGTAACTGCTTTGAGTCCCTTCGGAAGCTATGTGTTTCTTTTGATTCAAGAATAAAACTGAAATCGGCTTGATGGGATGTCTGTGCCATAAAGACTCGTTATCACCTGGACCTTGTGTGTAGTCAGGTGTGCGGGTGGAGTAAGTCACGGATTAAATACTTCTTGGTGAATAGATTTAAAATGACGCTGACTTTGAGGGGGATTTTCAGAACGCTTTATTTTCCTGCATTGGCCTAATGTGTATCTTTGCCAGAATAGTTGTGGTACCAAGTACTTCTTTGTGTGACACTACTGGGTCACACACGTACACACATGCCATGCAATTGTTTACCTCTCTCTTTTTGGAAGTATCTGGGCAAACGTCTGTTTTTCTGTATGATTTTTTGCTATTTAAGAATCTGAATGAACCAGATTACTTTCTTAAGCACATTCTTCTTTAGGCAAGTTTTATTTCTCTCTGGAAGCAGTCTTAAGGAGTCAGCTGTGGTTGGGATGGGGGTGTCCTGCCTTTTGTAACAGAAGGGTGTGGATAAATGGCAGGTAAGTGATGTAGGTGATCTAAGGAGCTCTGTCTTTATTGGTAACTTGATCCTTTTTTTTTTTTTTTTCTGTGGAGTTTTGTGTGCATAACAACAGACCCTGCAACTGATACACGGCTTGGGTGGTGGGGTGGGGAGGTGGTTTTGTTACCTCAGTTCCCCTCGTCCCTCCCCAGTGCATTGTTTAACCCTGCTGGAGTTGCTCTGACCAGACCCGTCGTGCACTGCTGGGAAAGCAGATGGCCTTCCTGAGTTTCCAAAAAATCAGGTCCCCGTAAGACCTGAACACTGGGGAATAATTAACACTTAGGTTCCTCAGGAGAAGAGGTGTCAGGAGTGCTTCTTGCAAAAATACACCAGGCCACAGCCCTTGCCCAGGAACTTACGCAGCTTGTTCCTTGTTCCCAGCGGGGTGCTCCTCCATCCCACCAGGTTTGCACGTCTGAGGAGGAGAGCTTTGCACTGAAGTGGCAGGCACCTTTCTGATTGAGGACACCTCATATAGACAGCAGATCATCAACATTTTAAAATCTTCCTTTGTTAATCCTGTGGCAGGCACAGGGATTCTTCATGCTGCCTTCTATGGGCTTGCTCTCAATATGGAGGCAAAAGACGGCAATGAGGTTAACTGAGCCTCTCGCCCAAAATGGTGTTCGCAGGCTGCTGCAGGTACACGTGTAGAAGCTCTTTTCTATCAAACCAAGTTTGGAAGTTGGCCTTAAACATACTTTCCCACTTTCTTGTAAGGTACCAAGATAAACCTAACAGAACAAAGGCTGGGGAAAGGAAAAAAATCTGAAGTACTTTCTAGCCTTTCTGGATATGTGCATGTTTGGTGGGTTTTTCGGGTTTTTTTAAATCCTTTTGAAAAGGAGAAATTCCAAATTAAGCCAGCCTGTGGCAGTGTTTTTCAGCATTTCTTTTACTTCTGCTGCATTTAAAGCTTAAGCCTTGGTGCTAATTGGAAAAGTTGGGAAGCCTCCTATGCGCTATATGCAATAGTTAATTTAAATATTTAGTAACATTTTAGCATTTTAACACAGCTCTTTACTTATTGAGTGTGTGATATAAATAATTATGACTCACAGGTGCAGAATTACTATTTCGTTGTCTATGAAGCTTATTTTAAACGTGATGTGTTGCTATTGCCGTTTTTCAAACGGATTTGATTTCTCCCCCTGTTCTCCTTTAGCATAACAATGTCTCTATTATTTGAAGGATTCATTAAAACACATTTACAGCTGGTTCCTCTTTTTTCAATACATCTTTGAGACATCCCCTTGTCTCCTGACCTTTCTGAGCTACATCATGCACCGTGGGATGATTCTCATCTGACTTCTTTCCTAAACAGAAGGCTTCCTCTTTTTTGAAATGGGAAGCCTACACACCAGAGATGAATAGATGCTGGAATTTCTTACATCTTTCAAATTAGATCTTAAAAATTATTTTTTTCCTTGCTCATTTTCCAGACTAGTAAGACTTGAAGAATTTAAGCGAGCCCAGAACTTTGGTGCTCTCAAGCTCTCAAATTTACCTCCTGGTGTAAAAGGAAAGGTGTCAGGAAAAACGCTAAAACTCCAAATCCCTTTTAGAGCGCAGGTCGCCCGCAGGCAGCTGCCCTTTCTGCTGCCGTGCTGGTGGCGGTAGGTTCCAGCCTGCTTTGTCTATTAGCTCTTCAAGGGGATTATGGAAGTTGCCAGGAAATGGCTGATGTCTTTAGTGATCTGCGTAAGGCTGTCACAGAGTTGTTTCAAGCCGAGTCTGAAAGGCCATTTACTTTGCTGGAAGTGCCTCCCGTAGTTATTGTTACGGTTTCCTCTGTTCCTACACAAAGGAGCAAGGGAGGACACTGGAAAGAAAGGGAAGGGGAAAGGAAAGGCTACTTACCTAGCAATTAGCCAGCCTGCGAATGCGGCTGCCCTGTGCGGTCAACAGGAGCACATGCCACCAATGGTGAGCGGGAGGCTGGGTGGAGGGGAGCTGGGTCTGTCAGGCAGGACCTCGAGCCTCTTCTCTTGAGGCTCCGGGCTGCAGGTTGTGTGGCACGTGTACAGCGTGTTTGGTGCGGTTCAGCTGCAGTCGGTACTGAGAGGGTGTGCTTGGCCAAGTGGCCAGAGGCTACCCTCGTGGCTGCAACCACATGCTCCCTGGTAGCTTTGGTTCCCTTCAGTCCATCCGGAGCAGAGCTGTTCAAACCAACTTTTGATCTGTCAGTAGCTTAGAGCCTTCCTGTACCTTGAGGAAACTCTGCACATCCCACACCCTGCTGGGCACAGCCCCTCGTCTGTCCTGCCGCACCCTTGCAGCACCACCAGAGGCTACCCTCGTGGCTGCAACCACATGCTCCCTGGTAGCTTTGGTTCCCTTCAGTCCATCCGGAGCAGAGCTGTTCAAACCAACTTTTGATCTGTCAGTAGCTTAGAGCCTTCCTGTACCTTGAGGAAACTCTGCACATCCCACACCCTGCTGGGCACAGCCCCTCGTCTGTCCTGCCGCACCCTTGCAGCACCACGTAACAGTGATAATTATGGTCCAGCAATCTCACCCTCATCGAGGGTCCAGTTCCCGGTGATGATAGTTCAGTCTGTCCAGCCTATGTTTTGGATTTGATCTGACTTGCTTCTTTTCCTATTCCAGCCCTAGTTTCTTCCATTCTCTTTCCAAACTCCTCTTTCCTCTGAAAGCCTGAAAAAAAGTTAACACGAGGAAATAGATTTTTTTACCCAAGTACTGTATAGCTAAAGAATCTTTGAATACTCGTAATACTTTTAAAATTATAATCTACATTCACTTTTCTGTCATGTGCCACTGACTGACATGACTGACATGAGGACTAGAGATCCTTGACTGCCTTGAATCTGTGAACAGAGCCACCAGCCATGGTAGCGTGGCCTTCGGCAGGAGAAACAAGGTAAATTAGGTCATGCAGAGCTCCTTATTTCCACAGCTGTGCTACCTCTGTTACCACGCTGGGCTTGCTGGCTGTACCTTAGGTATTTCTGCAGAACCCTAGCCTACAGCACAGCTGTACCCTCTGTTTTTAGACTGAGCAGCTCTAGTAAAGGGCTTTATGATGTATGGCAATACTCTTAACAAACAATAGGAGAAATGAAATACTGGATGAGGAATGTTAAGCTGTATGGGGTGGCTGCCAGTCCACAGTCCTGGCCTGGAAAGCCTTTCTCCTTAATGTACTTGAAAGAAGAGGAACAGGTGGTGGTCAAGAAGACGCTCTGGAGCAGACATTGTGGGAAGTCTGACTGTTGGAACGAAAGGGAAAATCTCCAGGAAGATTTACAACTGTTTGGGTCTATGTTTGGAGTGGCTGTACAGGCAGGCTGCCACTTGCTTAAAAAAAAAAAGAATCTGAGTCATAATTTTCCATCTCCTCTGCAAGTAGTTTTGATGCATCAAAACTAATTGCACTTCTCTTTCTGTGCCTTAAACTAAAAAAAAAAAAAACAAAACAAAACCCAAACAAAAAAAAAAACACACAACACACAACAAAAAAACCAAAACAAAAAAAACCAACACCCCCTACTCAAATCCAACCCTCTCATATTTAATTGTGTATCCTGCTGTGTTAATGATCGTATGCTCTTTCTTCTTCCTTCTTCTACCTACACCAAACGTAACGGGCAGGGCCACACACGCAGAAATGCCTAGCAGCTACAGAGCGTACTGGAAGTACTCTGCTTAGGTTTTGGACCAGTTCATACAGTATTGCTATTAACTCTGGAATTATGACAAAGCTGTGTTAGAGTCAAATTGGTATCATCTGGCCTAATCACTTCCTAATTTTGCAGAGCATTCCAGGGGTTTTATATCCCATAATTTTCTTTAAGTGTATTATGAGCAGCAACATTTACGGCAATGCCAAATTGTACAGTTTTCATTTTGGCAAGCAGTCCCTGCAAGTGTTTTTGTATTGGTCCTGTGTATGTATTCATCTCTCCCTCTATTTTACCTGTAATTTATAGATAAGTGCTTAGCATTCCCTCACCACCTCTCAGGATCCAGACCGTGATGTGGGACTGTGAAAGTGCCTATACTTTTTAAGCCGATGTAGTGTCTTCGCTCCGGTTTGGTCTGTGAGTGGGAATGATGGACCCTTTTCTCTGCATCTGCCTGTGCACTTTGGCGTTATGTTTCCTAAAGGAAGAAAACCAGGTCTGAAGTTTCCTGAGGTGAGGACAGAGTTGCAAAAGCCATGCGTAATGTGGACAACTCCCTTTCGTTTCTCGGCACCGTGCTTTGCCCGGCTGTAGCTGGAGCAGCCCTGTGTGAGATGGGAAGACATTGGGATGCTCTTGAAGCTCACAGGGCAAAGAGGGGCTGTGGGGCACGACTGGGAAGTCCCGTCCCCAGTCCCAGAAGGGGCGGTGCTGGGGGTGTGAGCAGGATGCGGCAACAGCATGGGGATTGGATGCGTTAGTTGCAGCCTTGCTGCGTGAGGCTGGACAGACCGGTGTCGCCTCCCCTCAGCTATTTATTTAAAGGACAAGCTTTCTTCTCAACTGGAAAAAGCCCCACTGAAGTCTTAACTATCCTTGGGTCAAGCTAGTATGGATGAAGGGTGAAAAAGGCACTTGGAAATACTCTGATAACAGGAGCTACAGCTTCGCCTGCTGATAAGTACACATTATTTCGTGGGGCTTTTCCCCTCCTGCTGGGCGGAGATTACCCTCACAGACCTCTGTGAGAAATACGGAGGTGAAAGGATTGGTAATCATCGTTAGCTCTGCCGCTGCCCAGAATTCCTATACGCCATGTATGTAACGACTTAGAAAAAATCCCACTGAGGAGGTACAGAGAGATGTGATGTACACTGGAAATGGCGTGTCTGTGGCATGCAGCCAGCAGCAGCCATTTTACCCACATGTGCACTTTCACTTCAGCACGTGCTCTGCTGTGGATGCTTTCCTTCCCTCACCTTCAAATAAAGTCGGTGTTGACTCTGTAAGGGCAGATACCTGGGAGACAGATCCCAAAGTGCCTGGTGCTAGAAGAGAGTTTGCGTTTGGGCTTCAGCACAAAGCTTTTTGCACTTGATGTGCACCTGTGCGAAGCTGAGGGTGATGACAAGATACTACGCGAGGGGAGAGTGCAGCAATTTGCACATGGAGCTGCTCTTGCAACCAGTTGGCCTTTGGGAGGCTTGTACCTAGATAACAACAAAGCCAAATACTCTTTAAGGAAAAGTTATATACAAGTAGCTGGAAAGAAGAAGTTTACTGTGAACTTTCAGGCTTGTTTTTCATCATGCCTCTGGTACCTAAGAACGTGCACTTCAGTCTGACAGATTTTGGACCTGATACCCTTTTCCACCTAGTTCCTCAGTTACTTTGTTGGTGCCTATGCGCTGATTGTGCTTGAAATTCCAGTAACCCTGCTGGCTTTTGCATCTGTGGCTGTGCAGATGGGGGATGGTTTCTGACCTCCCCCCCCCTCCTTTTTTTTTTTTTAAAAAAAAAGTGATCCTTGAAGTGTGACATAACTCTAAAGCATTTCTGCTGTGCAAAGGAATTTGTAATTTTACTGAGCTAGGGAATACCTTGTAGAAAGGGGTCTTCCGTGTGCTGTGCTGTACCGTAACTGTTCTCAGACTCAGATTTCACTCATCTTAAAAGGTTAAGTTTCAAATTTAATCAACTAAAATTTTTGTGGTTTATTTCCGATCACTTCGGTGACTTTTCAGATTCTTTCCAAAATGCAAAACTAATGCAATCAGTATCTCTGATGATAATAACAATAATAATCTAAAATAATTCAAAAACCCCAGCATGTGCAGTCCAGAACTGAACAAACTTTATTGAATTGGTTTGATGGTTGCCTATTCATGTTTTTTGCTGCCCGGATTGTTAAGAGTTCAGTGGGTTTTGTTTTCACAAGCAGCAGGTGTCCTCCCAGACAATGCCAGAGAAATTAGTCAAATGGAGACTGGGGAGCGTTAGGAGCGGTGTACTGGGCTGGCCTGTCCCGCTTTCATCCCCTGCAGTGTCCCCCAGTTCTGCAGAGGGAAGGAGGTGGACAATGTATCGGGGCCCTTCAGCAGTTTGCAAGCTCGGGGCACGGCGGTACGATGTTTTAAGCGTTCAACAGTGAGGGTAAAAAGTAACTTGTGGGTAAAGTTAGAAATTGCGGAGCGTCAAGTTAGTGAAATAAAGCAAACGGGACTTTGGAATAAATCCATACGTTGTTGTTCCAGGAATAGAGGGAAGCCTGAAAACGAATGTGCAAGAAAAACAGCTGAAAATTAGCATGGTCATAAAAAAAGTTGAATTTAGGGCTCCAAGCATTAGTCGTTTAATCATCATGGCAACAGTGGTAGTACTGTTTGGGAAGAAAAGAGTGGAGGGAAAAAAAAGCTAAATTTTGTTACTACTGCCTGAAAGAACTAAAATGCTTTGGTCAGATAATTATTTCCCCTCCCTGGGCCCACTCCCAAAAAACAGAGATACAAAACTGCAGTTCTTCTCTCCCTACTTGTGAGATCATGCTTTTTCATAGTCGGCATCCTTTCCCAAGAAATACTTGGTTGAAAGCTGACAGTTGCCATCATGTATTCTTGTCCTGAAATTGTTGGCCATGAGATTAAAAAGTCAATGAGAAGTCATTTTAGGAACTGTAAGGTTTAGATGTAGAAAAGGAGAATGGAGAGCATGAATGCAAACTATACCAAAGGGCTGCTAGTTCTGATTGGTAAACCCATGATCCGGGTTTATTTG